CGCTGGAAGACTACAAGTTGAAAGAAATCCCCTCTCTTGCCTACCTGTTCCGAAGTTTTGTGCCATAGCAACGGACCACTGACTTGATTGTTTGCGTAATGTTTTCGCCTGCTGCCTCGTGATTTTTGCCCAGTGACGCCCGATAAACAACTGGACTGACGGCGCACTAGCCCTGCGTCCTCATTTGTACAACAGCAGCAGTGTTCAACCCGTTGCAAACGGTCCGCTCATGGCTCGCAATACGCTTTCAGTTTGAGTTATGTAAGGAGTTAACGTCTGATGGAATGAAAGGATGATTACGAGGCGTGAAATTGGCAAAATGGGAAAGAAATCGGTCGTAGTCTATTTCATGACGCTGTTTGATTACAGAGGTTACTTAGAGCCAAATGAAATGTTTTACAAATTCGGCAAATTAGTGGTTGCAGTATTTTACCTGTTGTCTTGTAGATACAATTTTTTTTCAAAAATTCCAAAGAAAAAAATACTCAGGGTGTTTAAATACAAAATACTGAGGGCATTATGTGGAACGAATCGAGACGAATAGACAAGAGGCTGGAGAATATTACATCGTTAGGAGTTTCGTAATTATTACGACTGTCAAAGTAAAGGAGAATATGGACGGAACATGCAGCACGCATTACGGACATAAGAAATGTATGCAGAATTGTTATCTGAATAGAAGAAATGGAGACCGCGGAGACAACAATGCGAAGGCCTACAAGTAGGATAATATTTAAATCTATCTCAGAGAAACAGAATTTTTGTGGGCTGGATTCAACTGGCTTAGGATCTAGTGTCACGTGACACGTCAGTGTCTTGGTCCGTCCGTCCGTCAATGTACGACTTAAAACGTGATATGTTTGCGCTTTATTTCCTTCCCTTTTTCTTGTTTTCTTTCTTTCTGTTTTACATTTTTTATCGATTTTGTGTTGTGAAGTGTTCGTGAAATATATATATATATATATAGTTTATTCTTTATAAGAGTAGACGCAGGACTTTCTTACTGTGTAGGTTTTAAAAGAATTTCTTTTGCTAGCACGATTTCAGACGGCGCCAAATTAAACAGTGATAACCTACTTGAATGATTTACTGGGTGATAAGTTCAGGGAAGAACTCGTGACGCACATTTTCCACAAAATGCTTTCGTCTGTATGGAGAGACAATACATTAATAATTATAAGATTCGGTGATTTGTTTCTATGAATAGCTTCCCGTTGTTAGCCTAAATGTTTTCAGTTCAAAAACATTTCAGATCTGTTTCCGCAGATCGAAACAAAGAACAGGATACTAATTATTTGTGATGTTCGTGACTGTGGCGAGTATGATCAAATCTGTGCCTCTTTTTAAACTACCGTGCTTTAAGGCACAATTTTCTGGTGCGACTGATAACTAATTTGAATCATAAAATCGTGTGTCCAGACAGAGATTCAAATGCGCTGTCTCTTGGCCAGTTATTTATTCACATAACAACGAAATTCCTGTTCATTTCTGTTGTCACAAATGTCTGTCACTGGACTGTATCTAAGGCAACTCAGTTCAGTTTATATATCTATTTAAGATTAGTTTAAAATAATTTCTCATATTATTCTCCTATCAATGTTTATGCCTCTCAAATTAATTTTTCGCATAAAGATTTCCCAATAAAGTTTTGTATGTATTTTTAATTTGCTTATTGTGTTTCTTATTCATATTTTTTTTATTTCTGACAATTTCACGATGATAATACAAGACCAAAATCTTATATGCATTTCCTCGATTTCTCTGGCGTGTTACATGTCTCGCCCACCTTTTCCAATGCCACGTGAGGAAGAAACCGCGCTTTTGCATCGCGCTGTAACTGGGGTTAGAAATAGATTACCTTGGTTTCATTGCCAGAATGCCAACGACAGAATGTTGCATGTCGCGAATATTTACTCAGTTCAAAATCGCTTATACATCAGAAAGTTTTATTCCTCGCGTCAGGAGTCTTTGCGCTTTACTCCACGTGTCAGGAGTCCTTAGGTATATTTGTTCTTTTCACCGCAGAGGACCCTCTGATTGTCCGTGGAAATTGCGTTGAATTTATCCGCCCCAAAAGTTTTCTTGATATTCCCCTGGCTTCGTGTCTGCAAATATACTGCACGTTTCTCATGCACCCGTTCCGATTTAAATTCACCAAAATTACCCCCTTGTTCTGGATGACACCAAATTATTTCACTTTCCTGATACGTTACCTCAAATTACAGGCTGTGTCCTAGCTCTGCTCCCCGCAGAGGCCCAAGTCAGTCCACCGCTGCTTCATATTCACTCATGTATCATCTGGGAGATGGAAAAGGGGTCCGTTAGAAGCCCAATTTCACAGAGAATCTCCCCATCACAACAAAACAATACCATTAATTAATCAGAAAATCAAAACTCCACTGTCTGTGTCTCAAGCTACTACTTCTTGTCTACCGGATGTCTCACTTTGATGCTATCCTTATTACAAAGAAGAGCAGGCGAAGTCTGGAACCTTCTAGCAAACTAGTCAACTATTTCCCCACGAAATGAAGTCTCTCATTTCTACCCACGAGTTTCTCTTTGATCGTATTCCTCTAATGTACGTACTTGCTCTCTTGCGTGTTTCAGATGTACACTTTGTACTCGTACTTCTGTTTGTAGCTTAATTAGAACAGAGGAGAGGCATAATTTTGTAGAAAAACTGGGAAAATGCAGTAGCCAAGGGAATTCCCAACACGTCGGTTTCATATGGTAATATATCTTTGAAATATATGCAGGTTTCATTTTTTTTATACGAGAATGAAAAACTTGTGACCACGTGAAATTACGTTACACAGATATACAGTCTTTGTCGAGTCAATTC